GTCACGGGGCTGTGGGGGCGGCCCTGGGGGGGTGGGAGCTCCTCGCCCCGGCCCGCCCGGCTCGGGGTGCAGCCGTGGCAGTCACTGGAGCCAGGGGTGCCATTCATCTGGCAGAGGTGGGGGCGGCTCTGGGAGCAGGGGATGAATCACAGCTCCATTGACTTCACTCCCGGCTCTCCATTGAGTCTAAAAGGAGCCCGGAGCCGTCGCTGGGGGTGCTCGTGTTCTCCTCGCCCACGGTTAACTCGCTGCCTCCCGGGGCCCCTCCGGCGGGGAGGGGATGGATCCAGGGCCTGGGCAGCATTCCTGGGGGTGTATCCCCAGTCAGGCCCTCAGCCTGGCTCACCAGAGGGTGACACAGCTCTGAGACGGTGTTGGAGGCCTCTCCTGCCTCCAGCTTGCCCAGGCTCCTTCTGCACCTCCCGTTTTCGTTTCCATAGTTTTCCCTGCAGCACTTTTCCTTCCTTCCCTGCTGTTTTCCAGACCGTTTCTCCAGTGGCAGCACCACGTGAATCCAAACCTGCTCTTCCAACGTGCTGCTGCCCTCTCTGTTGGGACCTTCTGCACACTGAAGTTCTCTCTCTGTTCCCTCCTAACGCTCGGTGAGCACGTTGAGCTCATCCCAAGGCAGACCCCGCTGAAATCCCGCTTGATCCATCCTTGCAGTTCAGCAGTGAAAAATGTGCCAATGCAGCTCTTTCCTCACCTTGCAGAGGTTTCTATCCCCTTGGTTTTTTATGGGAATGCCTTGTGAGAGCGTTGGGAATGCTCTGCTGCCATCAGGCTCCGTGTGGCAGCTCTGCCTTTCCCATGTTCGGGTGACCCGTTATTGTCCCCCAGAAATTGGGTTCCTTTGGCACATCCCATTCCCTCCGATCCACTCCACCTCCTGTTTGTCACCTGGATGGTTTATTAAACCTCTCTGCTGTTTGTTAGAGGATTTGCCAGGGAATTAAAGATGAGTTGCTTCGTTTTAGGCTTCCTCTGATCTTTCTGCTGCCTGTTCATAGAGATGAGCATCATCCTTTGTGCGGCTCTCCGGGAATGCCGAGCGTGCCAGGTGAGCTCTGAGACAGCCATGGCACGAGTCAGGCACTTTCTGCCACCTCAGTGAGTTTCCCCAGGCCCAGAGAGTTGAAACAAACTCTAAATTCTTCCAACTGCTGGGGTTTTTTTTACTGGAAAGTCAGAGCTTGGCTTTGCCGTTCTGGTGCCACCAGGAGTTGACTGGAGCTGGTTTGTACAGACCTAACCATGATGTATTTGAGGTGTTCACTTGATAGGTCATGGAATTATAAAATGATTTGGGTTGGAAGGGGCCTTAAAGATCGTCTAGTCCTGCCCCCCATGGGCAGGGAACCTTCCACTAGACCAGGTTGCTCCAAGCTCTGTCCTAGATCATAGAAACCTGGAATTCTTTGGATTGGAAGGGACCTTAAAGCCCCTTCCATGGGCAGGGACACCTTCCACCAGCCCAGGCTGCTCCAATCCCCATCCAACCTGGTCTTGGACACTTCCAGGGATCCAGGGGCAGCCACAACTGCTTGGATTCAGGAATTACAGTGTGAGGTTGTCCCGCTCTCCTTACTTGGACACGAGGGTTGTGTCACTGGAATGACCTTTCCCAGGCATGGGAATCTGCTTCCAGAGGGCTGCCCTACACCTGGAAAGGAGGATTTTGTTGGAGGGGGAAGAGTTTCACACCTATTGAGGAGCAGCTGCATAACCAACTCTGCTTTTGGGGCAGGAGATGTGGGAGGTGACACGAATGGGGGGCTCCCTGACACCCTTAAAGTGCTTCCCAGTTCTGTTGGAGTTTCTCCATGTCTGGGTACTTCGTTGCATGAAGTCCCTGGGTTTTCAGATTCCCTGTTTTCCGTGGATAATGTGGGAGCACATCCCTAATTACAGCACGAAGTGAAGTATCAGGGAATTGCAGGGAATTCAGGCTCTGTGTCGCTTTACATTCCATGGATGACGTTTGTATGTCCTGGTATGTAATCCCCGTGTGCATCAGCTTTTGGGATGCCCTTCCCCGGCTCTGGAAAACGCAGGAATATTTCTATATTCCTTGTAGGAGCCGGGTGCTGTCGTGGCGTTGCCGGCAGAACTGGTGGGATTGGGATGCCTGGAAATGCTGCAGGTGGGCGGACGCAGAGGAGGGTCCTGTCCCGGTGCCCGTCGGTCACGGGGAGCACACACGGGACCGTGGTGATCCCTGGCCGTCCCCACCCCTGTGCCAGCCCTCCGGGTCCCCGCGGGTGGCACGGGTGTCCCTGGCAGGTGATCCCTTCCCTCCGGAGGGGCAGGAGGAGCGGGGAGGGGGAGGCGTGTGCCGGCCCCGGTACCGCAGTGTGGTTCCCGCTGCTCCGTGCCAGCTCCTGGATCCACATCCCCTCCCTCTGCCCCCTCGCTCTGCCCGTGCCGTGGCAGGGAGGCTCTGGGGGGGGGGATTCGTTCCCGCTGCCACGCTCCGGGCAGATCCTTCGCCGCCGGTCCTGGCCCTGCCGGGGATCCTCCCCATCCCCATCCCCATCCCTCCCATCGCTCTCCAGCACAGTGGGAAGGGGATGCAGCAGCCCCTTCACCCGGGGACGAGCGGGGGGCTTCGCTTCTCCATCTCTTGATCGCTCCCCTCCTCTCCCACCGCTCCCCATCCCTCCCATCGCTCCCCATCACGTTGGGAAGGGGATGCAGCAGCCCCTTCACCCGGGGACGAGCGGGGGGCTTCGCTTCTCCATCTCTTGATCGCTCCCCTCCTCTCCCATCTCTCCCATCGCTCCCTCCTCGCCGCTCCCGCTTTGGCTCCTTGTGCCACCTCCCCCCGTTTTCCCGGCGCTGCCGAGAGCCGGACCCGGGTCCCTGATTAATTCGGCTCTGATGTCAGACATGCGGCTCTGCTGGGAGGGATTT